TGTTACGCGTCAAGCGTGTGTTTACATTGTTCTGATATATCTAGCGACCCGCCCCGGCTTCGCACGGGTGCAATATGCATGTATTATACATACAAACCTTTCTTAAGAATCACTCTATCTATTAAAAAAAACCGCATCAAAATCCGTTGCGTAGTTTTAAAGATCTAAGCATACATACGGACATACAACGAAAGCGACTTTGTTTTATACTATGTATTGATTATCCGAATATGTATCAGAGATATTGTAAACATAAGTAATATTTTTTAAGAGTAACGAATGGAGTTTTGGACACTCGAATCTACTTTTAGGAACGAGCACCTAGCTTCAATGACGGACAGACTGACAGACTATTATTTATTTTATATTTATTGACGTTTCAAAAGTTCCAAATTATGGTTTAATTAAAATAAATGCTTTTGAGTTTGAGTTTGCCCAACCTACACCCCGTCAGGGGATTGACTTTATTTATTAAACAATGAAGGAATTTTGTATAAGTATCGAACAGGGTGAACTGGTGGAAAATAATCATAAACTATTTATAGGTAAATATGTTTTATTTTCAGTAATAAATGGTAAACATTGAAGTTGAAGTACTGTCTGCGGCTGATGTAAATACGTTCACGTAATATGTAATTGTAAATATCACATTTTATGTAATGTTTTAAAAAATGTACGTTCCCACTCCCGGTGCAGCTGGTTTCACTGTGACCTGGCCGTTGTTGTGTGCTTCAGTAGTGCTGGGTGTCGGCTTTGGTTCCTGGGGTTTGTGTACAACCATTTTAACCGGCTTTTGGGTATCTGTCCCAACAAACACTGGGTGACGTCGGTTTTGCTCGCCTACTTTCCTCTCGAACACTTTCACGGTGAAGTTGAATCCTCTGAACACAGTGGGGCTCTTCAGCTCGATGGTGACATTATTGTGTCCTACACCTCCGTCGACCACTCTGGCTTCTCCGTCCTTCTCTGGCCTGTTGTCAATGACAACCACTCGTGTGATGAGGGCGTCGTCGGTCGCGTTCACAGTGAGGTTCTGCACTTGTTTCCAGATGGTAGGTCTGGCGGTAATAGTCGTGTAGAATATTAATCGTCCGTCTCTTTTGCCCACGGTGAGGTCCGTGGCCGCAGCCACAGCCACCAAACAGAATAATGCGACTACTTTTGTGAACATCTTCGGATGTTTACAAGCGACTGGCCCAGATGGTGGATACTGAAGCTTATATAGGGCAGCGGTTTGAGGAAAACATTAAAATCAATAAGTTAATCACATATAAATATAGGTACATTAATATTAATACACACATTATTTGATCCCAAAGGAATACCTACGCAGAAGTGTAAACATAATAATTATGTAGGTACAAAATAACAGCCATTTTTCACAATATTGTAATACTCCGGACACAATATTCCAGACAACTATCTGTAAATCCGAAATAGGTGTGGTTTGAACTTGCACATCTACTTCGTGAGACGTACTTAAAAGCACCCCACAATGTTGTTTTTTTGGAGGGGGGAAAAACCATCGCTGCCTTGGGTTAGGCGAGAGGGAGTGTCAGACTCTTACTGACTAAAAACCACCCCGTGACTAAATACTACTCGTGAGGCCTTCCGCGGCTCTGTATCGGGCATCAGCCCTATTGTATCTGTGGTGGTCTGATGGATCTTTGAGGCGCGTGCGGAACGCGATGCGCACCGACTTCTCACCTATCACTTATCAGTAGGTGGGTGACCTATAAGTACGTATGACTAATAATAGTTATTTTTTGCTATTTAGTTTTTTTTTAGGCCTTTGGCGTTCACTGCATCTTTCATAATCTATATCTATACTTATAATAAATCTGTAGAGAGGTCAATTCTGTACATAAAATATATTTAAAAAATAACTATCAAGGGGTGGTTAGGGATCGCTACTGATGCCAAAAATGCAATCAGAAAAATTTTTGTCTGTCTGTCTGTCTGTCTGTATGTTCGTTATGGAAACAAAAACTACTCGACGGATTTTAACGAAATTTGGCACAATTATTCTTTATACTCTTGGGCAGGTTATAGTATACTTTTCATTATGCTACGATCAATAGGAGCAGAGCAGTGAAGGGAAATATTAGGAAAACGGGAGAAGTTACTCCATTCATTAACTTAATACACAAGGAGTTACACGGTGACGGAGTCGCGGGCACAGCTATCTATACTTTTCTGCCGGAAGTCACTATTCCACGCGGACGAAGTCGCAGGCAAAAGCTAGTATTACATAAAACAACCATTTTATTTCTAACTTTTCTATCTATACTTATAACCTGGGTTTTTAAAAATCTCAGTAGTAGCACGGGGTCTGGAAATGTGCCCGGTATATGGATATGCAATAGGATCACCCCCTATTACATGGGACTCATTACATAAATAGTGAAAAGTGGGTGTTACATTGTAGTGGCATAATGTGCACCTCTGCCGACTCCTTCGGTAATAAAAGGCGTGATGTTATGTTCACAAATAGAAATCCGATGTATAAAGTTGCTTTGATTGGCTTTTGCCAGTTACAGAACAAAAATCACAACGAAACGAGTAGGTGCTCACGATTTTTAGAATTCAGTTCTTGAATCTTTATAAACGAATGCTCCTCTGTCCAATTTAGGACAATCAGAAAATACATAAACATTAAAAAAAATTAAATACTGCCGTAAGTTCTGTAAGTTCTAACACCAAAATCTAAAAAAAATGTTGTAAATTAAATAACGATATGTTGACTAGCTGACCAGGCAAACTTCGTACCGCTTAAATTATTATTCGCCTCATTTTAACCATCCCTGGACTTTCACGAAGATTTCAAGAGTAAAATTAGCCAAATCGGTTCAGCCATTCTCGAGTTTTAGTGAAACTAACGAACGCTACTTCATTCTTATTTATATAGATATTTAGGTACATATTAAACCATCCAGTCTGTCTGAATATTTTTATATTGATTAAGAATAAAATACAGTCAATCTGAGAACCTAGTCCCGTTTTGAAGTCGGTTCAAAATAGCTTTTGTACGGTAGTGTATTTAAGCAACCTACTTTTCATCACTTATCTTACACTTGCTCAAGTTCAGGTTTCTTGCTGATGACAAATATTAGAAACTAGCTTTTACCCGCGGTTTCGCTCGCGTCACAAAAGGATATAAAAAACCGACTTCAAAAAAACCAAAAACTAATAACAAACAAAAAGTCAAAACTAAATAGCAAAAAATAACTATGATTATATTACCCACCCACTGATAGGTAAGAAGTCGGTGCCATAAGTTCCATACAAAATTATTCATTAAAACCTTAATAGGTACCTAATTCACATTTATGTGGACATTAAGTTATATCATTATGATATGATCTTATGGCACCGACTTCTAACCTATCAGTGGGTGGGTAATCTATCAGTACTAATCATAGTTATTTTTTGCTTTTTAGTTTTGACTTTTTGTTTGTTATTAGTTTTTGGTTTTATACTCGACAGATTTTAACGAAATTTGGCACAATTATTCTTCATACTCTTGGGCAGGTTATAGTATACTTTTCATTACGCTACGATCACTAGGAGCAGAGCAGTGAAGGGAAATATTTGGAAAACGGGAGAAGTTACTCCATTTTTTAAGCTTCTGTCGCGTGTGCAGGCTTAATAGTTAAAGCTACACAGAAATCATGTAAGACAGAAATGTTCTACATAAAATTATCTAAATAATATCCCACAACAGCACATATCTATCTTATATGGTTGACTTACAATAACACGTGTAACTCCCGATAGCTTAGCAGTTCGGAGCTTTCTGTTTATATTTGTTTACTCTTACGTTTACAATACTCATCCATAGACATGATGCTGTAACTGTAGGGCCGATGGCTGAAATTAGCTTGACTCGATATTATAAATGTGAAAATATGTGAGCTTATGTGTTTGTGTATGTTTGTTACTCAGTCATATTAAAACGACTGAAGGGACCAGAATGAAATTCGGAACAGAGGTAGAGTATGGTGTGAAGGAATACATTGGCAATTTCCCCCTGGAATCACGGGCGAAGCCGCTGGCAGAAGCTAGTAGATAAATAAAAATAAATTATTTGCAAACACAGATTATGGTACTTATGAAATGCGATTGGAGACTCTTTTTAAGCTAGACATATTGGGACACTGCTCTTTCACAACAAGACGTGAATAATAAACTTCCATGAACACAAATATTGCTTATTTTAATTTAATTACTCTAGTTTAGAGACATACTTTAATATCAGTGTATTAGAAAACGCAGTGTACCTCAAGGCTTATACTGAACTCCTTGTATTGAAAGGAGTCCTCATGAACTCGTGTCTTGTATTTGGCATTTTCGATACTTTTTAATAGAAAACAATCTAGCAATTAGTAATCAAACTTACTTAGTGAACTTACGACCAAGTGATAGCACGTAAGAAGTGCCAAGTAGCAGAAAGAACACAATACTAACATTCAATCGAATGGCAGCCGTTCAAGTTTGAAAGTATAACTTGACTACAATAAACAAGTAAAACAAATCATATTCTGGATAAATGATAAAAATAATAATTAGTCTAACATTTTTCATAGCTCAGTAAAAAATTTAATTAAAGTAATATGAGTATCGATAAGGAATTCCTTTAGCTTCGTCCGTTATAAAATTAGGTCAACTACAACGGAATAGTTCCCTTTTAAAAGATAAAAAATCCCTGTAAATCTCTCCATAAAGATTAGTTCTTTCTTTATTCTTTTTATATTATATCCACTCATTGTGTACATAATACCTTTTAGTGTGGATCGCTGGTTTGTTTGCAAACATATTATATAGACCACCACAATCCTCTATGAGGTTGCTTGCTTTTAATTTTGAAAAGTGTTTTTTATATTTCAATCTTTTCTGTTGACATCCCAAATGTTTCTTGAACATGATGAATGCTTTATTGACTTTGTAAAGCAAGAAGATACCGTATGCTTCAGTGGTGACTTACAGTAAAAAAGAGACTTACAGGATCATAATTATATTGTTACACAGTTACAGTCTATGTATTTTTGCTATCTCCTTAACCTTATTAAAGCGAATAGGTCCATGTTAAAAATTTAGTCATCATTTAAACTCGTTAAATATCGAGCACAATTTTAGACTCCTTACTAATAAAGCTAGCAAGTTCTTGATCATGAAATCATAAAAAAACAAATCAAGTAAACTTTTTTTTAAATTTAAGATTACATTACAGAAACTTCTAATTAACAGTTGCTTCTATACCTTAGATGCATTTCTTACAGTGAAAATATAATAAGTGCAATAATTAAGTCACTAAAATGAGTATTACATATAAAAAAAATGTGAGAAATAATAACAAAGTTACTATAAATTTTAATATTTAACTTATTTAATTGTTACATTTAACTTTGCATGCCCAAAAACAGTAAGCGATGTATGTGGGACTATCTATATGACGGCGGGAGTGGTTCGGTATCGCTCATTGTGGGCCTCCGTGGATAGTGTTAACACGAGAATTACACAAGGCTTCACTTTTGCAATCGTTTTAATATTCAATCACAATCAAATAGAAATTACACAGCAGATGGAACGCGTGATAGTTTCAGTGTCGTCTGCACGGGGTGAACTCTAACCAGCAAGTGCTCCGCTAGCGGCCGCTGCCCCGGTCCACTGGCAATCCCCACCCCGGTGCATTCCAACACTAACTCCATCGAACGCCACTAGATGGCGCTGGCGTCCCAAAGCTGTTTCCTGATATT